CCTCACCCGTTCTCCCTTCCTTGGCGGGAGAGTGGCTCTTGGCGGGAGAATACATCACGTGACCCAAAGCCCCGCGATGTCATTACCTTTTGACGTGGACGTGGTTGGCCTCCAACCCCGTCACCCTGCGTCAAGGAGAGAATCCTTCTTGTTACTTGTAACAAAATGCTCCTCATTCGCTCTAAAATGCTGTCAGATTCCTTTATCACTAATACATTCAATTACTCAATTGCCCTTTCTATTCAACAGCAATCTTATTGTCCGCTTACCATCTTCTCTGTTCTACACGATACAATTGCTTTTCATGACTTTCGACACCCACCCATTCAACCATCCTAGTAACGTTTTTTTTTTCTAAAATTACCCCTCCACCCCCACCTCGCCCCACCTTCAAAACACCAAACCCTAGTCTACCCCAGACACAAACGCACCCCTTCCCTCTTCACCTTCTTTTATCCCCTTGTGCTTGCGTTTCTAGCTGGCAATGAACTTTATATTTTTTGTATTGCTGAAAATCAACATCGGTTTTGTAGTGTAGCGGTTATCACTCCGGATTCTGATAGCGACATCAGACGATTTCCGGCAACCCCGGTTCGATTCCGGGCAAGACCTCGTTCTGAGTTATTATTTCTGAGTCTTCTGCTTTTTTGCCGTTTTTTTCCAAATGCATACATTGCCATCTTGTGTCAAATTAATTGAACAAGTCAAAGTCACGTAGAGCTGTGAGATAGATATTTTTGTTTGTTGGTAGTATGTAGAACGTGCTTTGGATAGTAGTGGCTGAGATGAGAAAGGGAGGGAATGTAAGTGTGCGAGAGATGTCCCTGGGTTTTTAGGATCCTTGGTCTTTTTTTAAAAAAAATAAATGAATTAGTATAGGGATGCAAATCAGAGGGAGAAAGAGAAGCTAGTCATGGTGCAATTATAGATATTACATTGATGATTTATTTCTATTCAGGTTCATTCAGACACCGCAAAAGGCTGAATGAACATGATAACATCGGATATATATCCTTCATCCTACCCTGACTCGACAGCTACATCCTCTAAGCTTTCCCACTACTTCCACAAATATCCATCCACCTCTCCGTCTCCTTCTGTATCGCTTCCATCTGCATATCGATCAACTTTGCTAGCAAAGTTGTCGATGCATTCTTCCGTAGGACCTGGTTACCGGCCTCAAGTAACAGTTTGTTTACGTTGAGTTTGATGGCGCCGGATCGTATGCAGCGTTGCATGACTTCTGGGGGAAAATCGTTGGTACCGTGTAAGGCGACGTGAACGCGCTTGTTAACCTGTTTGTTTATCGATTCGAGACGATCGTAATGCAATTGGCCTTCTTTGGGTCCAGCGGGACCGTAATCACCGTGGATGTTGCCGATGGAAGGGGCTAGGATGTCGATGCCGGCGTTGATGAAGTTATCGACGTCTTCGGGTGATGTGAAGAGAGCTGTTGAAATTTAGTGACTGATTGAGACTTTGAAATCCAGGTATGCTCACCCTCAAGATCTCCTGTATCAGCAATACCATCCTCGCCGCCTTCAATTCTTCCACTTTCGGCTTCAACAGCAATTCCTTTGTCGTGACACGCCTTGGTGAGTATCCCAGTCTTTTCCAAGTTCTCGGACTCGTCGTAATGCGACATATCCACCATGACAGAGTCTACGGGCAGGGTTTCAATGATGTCCCGGATATGCTCGACATCTTGTGCGTGATCGATGTGGAGAGAAAGTGGTACTGTGGCTGTTTTGACGGCATGTGCGGCAGCGTGAGCAAGCAAAGGTAGTTGCTTGAGTGTTGATGGGAAAAGCTGAATTATAAGAGGAGATCGTTTGGCTTCGGCTGCGCGCACTAGTGCAGTCAACTGTTCCAAGTTGTATCTGAAATTCCTTAGTTTTTCGCAAGGTGACCCGCACATGCTGTCTTACGCAATGGCGGCCATGACGCCGTAGTTGCCGGCCTCGGCGGCGCTGAGGATGGCCAGCGTACGGTTTTCTTTGCTGACAGGCATGATGATCAGGTTGGATATGTCTGTATGAGAGCAGAGGAGTCAATAGCGGCGTGGAAAAGTTGGTCTCAAGAACGTATGATGGCTTGGTGCTTGTGATTCACGATTCCGAGAGGATTCGGAACTGAAACTATACAGGATGACATGATGGCAGACCAAATGTCAGGTCCGGAGCAGATGCGGAGATGCTGAGTCGCTGATTGGAGCGCGAGACGAGCAGCCTCAATGCTCCTCATGCTGCATGTATGAGATGGTTGGGCGGAGCGGGAGGAAGAGTTGGTACCCGCTGCAAGAGCGGAAACAGATGTGCCGCGGCTGTGCCTCGACACGAGGCACAACTATGCAGACCACCGGGAAGGCCCACTCTCAGTAACCTGCACCCCGCTTTTACCCCGTCCTATTGAGCCTCACATGTCCGACCCCGCGATGGATTTTGTGGAGAGCGGAAACGATTCCAGTACCCCGCGGTATCCGTCCCGGTACGCTCTAAGCGACCCTTAGTTCTTAGGTGTTGTTTATATTCGTTCCTCGCTTCGGTACCTGACCAAGCTAACATAGGATTGTACTAACACAACGGTTCAATCCAAGACTGAGTTTAGCTGCGCAGTAGGGCCTCCTCTGATCGTACGAGCGGACTACTACGGCAAATATGCCAAGCATGCGTGTCGGCATATGTACATGGTTGCGGGGTGAAGTGGGACTCGAGTACGTCAGTTTTAATCACGATTCAGCACTCCAGTAATTAGCAAGGTCCGCGAGTAATGTTTTTGGCGGGAATCTTGTAATGTCAAGAGTCTGCTCCAAAAGATGCATGATCGCCGTTTGCTTGACTGGGTCCTGTACGCATAGGCCAGCTAACCGTTGTAAGCATAATTTTAAATGACGTATATCATGGTTGCACGCTTACCGGTGTAGATAGCCTGGATATTGGGTATGGCATTGGGTAGATCTTTTGATTGAGGCGACGACGCAATACCGCATATCGTTTCGACACTCTCATCCAAGGCTCGTTGTCGAATTCGAAACTCATCTATGCCTCCTATTGATGGCTGGTTGATGAGAACCAGGATCCGGCCAATGTGAAAGCTCTGAATGGCAGCCGCAAACGAAGGGGGGTGGATCCAGATGGGCGTGAATGATTCACCTGGCCTGAGTGGGGGCCCTCGATAGATGGGTTGGAACGAAGAAGGAAGCGCTTTATGCCAATCTTCAAGTGCTTGGAGAAGCTTTCCGGCTTGCTCAATGCGCGTATTTATGTCATACTTTTTCTCCGTCGCAGCAAAGTCTATACACCTTCCGCAAATGTACGCGATACGCAAGGCTAACTCGTCGGCGTTTAGGTCCATCAAACGTTTGGTAGGCCTCCATATAGTCAGAACTCGTCGCCCTTCACGAAAAGCAACCCACGAATCTTGACGTAGCCACTGCCACCAAGCAGCCCTTCGCAGCGGATCTCTGCATTCTCCATTATTGTTTTGGCTCCTTTGAATCCAAAATATGCCACGAAGATGCCTTTCCCATGCACCATTGCTGTATTGGCCCTCGGAGTCCCACATCTCATATGTGCTGATGAGGATGGAGGTTGAGATGATTTCCCTCGATTTCGAGTACGAAGGGTAGAAGAGGTTCTTGGAGAGGTAATGCAGCGTTTCGTAGTAGTACTGTGTTGCGGCTTGAAGCAATGGGTTTCGTAAATTGGCAGTGGTGCTTTCGGGGTTTGGTGCAGGGTCTTGGAGGCTGAGTTGGTCAAGTTGCGGCTCACTCAAGAGCGCCATGTGACGCGCAGCTACAGCAAGCAGGGACTTTAGTAAACCGACGTTGTGAACGGCTAGGGCGGGTACAACCGTGGTAAATTGCTTGGAGGGGTCACTCAAATCCAAAATGGGACCAACGACGCTGACGTAGTGCCTGAAGAGAACAAGCTCATCGTCTGTGATGGGTATAATGTCGGTAGAGTTCCATTGCTCTTGCATCTGAGAGTCGGATTCGGACGTTTGCTCCTGTTGGGCTAGCTGAGGATCTACATTCGGCGTTCCTGCCTCGGGGCTTTGGGCCCGCGACAAGGCAGTCCTCTCCAGGTCGAGATTTAAATTATACTTGTCAATATTGTTCATGGCATCTTCGGCAAGCAAGTCGTAATAAGCTAGCGGCGCCGAATTGGGCGATGGCAGAGAATTGATGACAGTTGAAGGAGACTCAAACAAGAGTTCAGGCGAGGCTTGCCAAACCAGGGGATCGATTTCCCGAGGAAGGGGTCTTCGAGCAGAGGCTGCTGAGCCCGGTGAAAAGGCAGTAGACGAAGAGGCATCTTCATGTGCAGGGGACGTGGACTGCACCGAGCCTGAGACTGGGCTTGCTGTGTCCGCCAACGTATCCTTTGAGGATGAGTAGACGCATTCTCGGTCTGACTTTGTGCATGTTGCACACCGAGGCCTGAGTTCGTCACATTTGACCCTTCTCCGTCTACACGTAAGACTAGGCGGGTTAGCAGACGTTTTGGTGCAGCGGGTTTGATTATCCAGCGGGTCTTGGTGACGCGTTGGAGCGATGCCACGGTGAGCTTACCAACCAGTTGTTGTGCGTAGACCCTGTTGAGGGCGGAAAACGTCGGGTCAGTGGAAATGGCACAAAGAGTGGGTGTGCGTCGACTTACTCGCGCTCTTGAAGGGCGGGGTTTTCGAGGCTTAGGAGGGCCTGTAGAGGATGCTGGCATCACGAACAATGTCGTGCATGCTGGTAAGACTTCGCGTCGAGGTCCTTGTGTCTTCGCTTAGAACTCGGGCCTGATCGCGTGGGGAAACAAGAGTTGGAGACGAGACCAGCTGCGCCAGGACCGAATAGGCTCCTCGCGGATAGTGCTGGAAAGGATTATTTCTCACAGAGAATGACAGCAGCGATACTGTGGGGATCTGAAGGGGCGGCAATGGTGCAGAATGCATGCGACTTGGGAGGCGACAGACCCCGCGCCAGTCTTGAGCACTATCCCCGTCCGGCTCAAGTAGGGATGCCTAATATATTGGGCGCGTTGCCTGAGCGCTGCAATTACTTCGGTTCAGACGGTATCCAAGACATGCAAATAATATCCCCAGGGACCTAAAGAAATAATGATCCTGGTGGTAAGCTCAAGGCACCACGGGAGCGACATGGATGCCCGCAGGAGGCTGACTCATTTGTCTCTTGTCTCGCCTGCCATTTGTCGCGGGAGCTCCTTCCGTGCAATCAATGGATGATGCCCTCTCACTCCAACTCCAACCCTCGCTTCTCCACCAACCCCAATATTGCCAGTGCACACACATACACATACACACGCATACGCACACGCACACGCACACACACACACATACATCTGGGATACATATTCTCTTTTCTTAAAACGCAATGGAGATTCATTCATCGTCACGGCCAATAGGCCGGCCGTCTGTCACACAAACTCCGCCCAATGCAGCATTATCATGAAACAAACGAAACGGGTCCAAGTAAATCACCCACAGTCACCTCTCCTACCATGCGCCGACAATGCCTGCCACGGGGATGTCAATGCCGGTCGTATAACTAGCTCCGTCGGAGAGTAGATATACGTAGGCTCCGCCAAGTTCGCGAGGATCAGCCAGTCTCGGCATGCCGCCATAGTATTGCATCTTCAAATTCCAGTCAGGCGCCTTCTCAACATAGTACGTCATCTGCGTTCGCACGAAACCGGGCGAAATGGAATTGACACGAATCCCATGCTTCGCCCACTCCATGGCTAGCGTGTGCGCCATGTTGCGGACAGCGCCCTTGGTCCCTCCATATGGCGCCGATGGTGCTGCCCTGTTCGGCCGGTACGAAGTCATGGATGCAGTGAAAACAATCGACCCCTTTATGCCCAGCTCAATGAACTTCCTGGCTGCTGCCGTCGCGCAAAAGTAAGCGCCGAACACGTTAAGGTTGAACAGCTGCTCTAGCTGAGGGCGGTCAAAGTTGAGCGCTGGCTGATGCTTGGTCATGCCCGCATTGGCAATCATGCCATCTATGCGGCCCGAATCAGCTACAATCTGGTCAACCGCCTTGTTGACGCTTTCCTCAGACGTGACATCGCAATGCAGGTAGTGCACACGCTTGGGGTTCGCTTTTTGAAGCGCCTGGAAATCCTCGCCCGGTTCAAAGAGGTCGAGCGAATATATCTCTGCCGCGTCGTTTGCAAGGCAGACCGTTGCAAGTCCCAAACCAATGCCTGTAAGTGCCTGTTAGTGTCGTTCCCGAGCGTCGGAGAGGGGTCAACCAACCTCTGTTTGCGCCAGTAATGGCGATCACTTTGCCCCTGAGGGTGATTTTCCAGTCAAAATCCTCCTTTGGCTCTGTGGTCAGGTAGACGGGGTTCGCCACACTCTGCTCGACTTGGATGCCATTGACGTGACCATTGGGAGGCGCTGTCTGGTCTGCCTGCGGCACGATTGCAGAAGGAGACATAATTGAAATGCAGTTAAGAACAAGCTGATTGATGGGGTCTAATGATATATGGCAGGTACAGCGAGGGAGCTGAGATACTTAAACCGGTGGATGGCTGAACGCCTGCTTCACAGGCTCCCCGCATGTTTAAGTACACCACGTTTCCTTACCCCCACACCAGCTCGTGGCAAGACAATCTTTCTACTTCGCTACCGAGGATCCTTGGAAAAGAGCGACGCGTATTGTCACCGTACCGGAAATCTACCCGACAGTGAACCAACGCCAGAACGAGTTCGTGGCGAATGCATGTACACTCAGCCGGCAGTCGCTGATTTGGTCCTCGCAAGCGAGCTCTCGCTTATTGACACACTCTCGCATCGAGCCGTACTTTTGTACATGCAGTTCTGTGGATAGTGGCGGCCAATCGTTGCCATACTGCATCAGCCTAGCTGGACCGCATTTGGTAATCTCGGCTAATGTTCTAAGGCCTGGGGTAGGCGGAAGGAGGACCGACCCACTCTGGGGATCGATACGACCAAGGCACTTCTGGGCAGTCACTATCAAATCTTGAAAAGACAACAAAACGACTTTGCAGAGAAGACGTATAAAGCTTCAAGCTGTCACGCAATAGCAAGGGTATCTTTTGCGACTGTCCCTAGAAAGTCGCAGTCGGTACCCTTTTATCCCCTGCAAAGCATACCGCATTGGGTTTTTCGTGTAGACAATTGCTTTTTTACGCCAAGACACTATGCCGTCAATACGCCATTCGTTCGAAGCCGGCGACATCAAAGATATGGATAGAACAAAACAGATTGAGGTGTCTGAGGACTTTACTTGGACACCTGAGGAAGAGAAGCAGTTGGTAAAGAAGATTGATTCTTTCCTGCTTCCAACTATGTGGTTGATGTACTTGTTGTCTTATATGGACCGCACAAAGTAAGCTACTTCCGAAGAATTGGAGTTGCAAAGATTGATCGAATATCAGTATTGGCAACGCAAAGATTGCCGGCATGGCCGATGATCTAGGCCTGACTTCCAGCCAGTACTCTATTGCTCTAGTTGTCTTCTTTGTTACCTATGTCGCCTTTGAACCACCTTCGAATATGCTCTTGGTCCGACTGAAGCCTTCCGTATACCTTCCTGTCATCATGGCCATCTGGGGTGCTTTGACTTGTGTTATGGGTGCCATTCACGACTTTAAGCATCTTGTTGTGCTTCGTATCTTCGTGGGCATATTTGAAAGTGGATTTGCACCTGGCATCATCCTCATCATCTCGTCCTGGTACAAGAAGGACGAGCAGTCGAAACGCTTTGGTGTGTACATGTCGGCAGCCATTCTCAGCGGCGCCTTTGGAGGTCTCCTCGCCGGTGCCATCACTGGAGGTATGGAGGGAACTGGTGGTCTACGCGGGTAAGTGAATTTTCGATGCAGATCTCAGGATTTCGACCCCTTGAATATGCTAACCCATGCCCACGTAGCTGGCGTTGGCTATTCATCATTGAAGGAGCTGCAACTATTGTTTGGGCCGGAATCGCCTCTTTTCTCCTGTTGGACTTTCCAGCGAATACCAAGCGGTTGACTGATCGCGAGCGACTCATCGCTACTGCACGCCTCCGAGGAAGTGGTATCCAGACATATGTGAATGGCGATGTAAGGATGGGTAAGCTCAAGTCTTTCCGCCTCGCAATCACGGACTGGAGGACTATTGGATTTGTCCTTGGTTATATGGTGAGTACTTCGTTAGATTTATCAGAATCATGTGACTAATACTTTGGAGGTCATTGTCGGCTCTTCCACCCTCTCGTATTTCTATCCTACTTTGGTCAATGGCCTTGGCTACAAAGATACCGTCACCGCACAGTACATGACCGTTCCCATCTACGCTGTCGCGTTTGTCTGCACTGCAGTAACAACGTACTTTGCCGACGCCATCTCCATGCACCGTGGCTTGGTCATCGCATCTTGGCTCACGTTTTCGCTCATAACCTCTATCCTGGTCTGTGTAATATACGACTTCACAGCACGTTACGCCCTCCTTGTCCTCATGGCTGCTGGTCTTTGGTCATCCAACGCCGTCTCCCTATCGTACGCCAGCGCGACATTTGGATCCATGGAACCTGAAGTAAGGGCCATTGCTATTGCGCTTGTCAACGCACTTGGAAACCTGGCGCAAATATACGGCGCATACCTTTTCCCAGCTGATGACAAACCAAAATATCTCATGGGCTTTGGTGTTATCTCGGGAATGTTGGGTTTTGGTATTGTTGTGTACATTTTCCTGCATGTTACACTAAGACGCAAGGATGGTTTGAACAATTTCTTCTAAAGGACGGGATGATGTGTCGTCCTTTGTACTATCATAGACCGTCACTGCGGGTAGTGCCTGCATGTATCATATCAATGAGTCAAAAAAATAGATCGCCTAGATTATATGATGAAATGTGATGCTTGAGAAACAGTACTATCTATACAATCATTCTACATATACCCCATTCCAAAACTAGAGTAGAAACCTTTCCAATAATACGCTTTTCAAATTAGCCAACAAAAATTCAGTGCACCATCTTCTCCATATCAATCCCCCAAATCCTATCAATCCTCCTTACTTTCTAGACCCCCTACGCCACACAAACATCCTAAACCGACTCCACCTACTCCCTCTCCGCCCCCCAACCTGCACAGTCTCATACGCATAGCCCACCACCTCCTGTCCCCCTTGCCCTCCAACACCCCCAACATCCGAAGCCGGAACAACCGAGCGTCCCCTATCCGCGCCTCGTGTTTGCACCGCTGTCGGTGCTCTAGACCTCGAGCCAGCGGCGCTCGCACCACCTTGGCCACGAGTCTGATTAGGAACTGTGAGTTGACGTTGCATCGACGCAGCAGTACGCGCCCCCTGACTAAACGGCGGACGCTGGCTATACGCTCTCGAAGCTACCGAGCCAGCGTAACTCCGAGACTGCCATGTGTGTGTGTCTTGGCGGCGGGACGTGGAGGGTTAGTAGCTTGCACGGAGGCTGCGTATCGGCTTGGTGGTGGTGCTGTTCTTCCGTGATGAGAGCTTTGGTGTGCGGATGTACCTGGGTGGTTCGATGCTGTTCTCCCGTGGTTGGAACTTGGTTGGGCGTAGTTACCGTGTCTGCTCGATACAGATGGTGCACGAGCGGAAGTACCGCGGGGTGCGGCGCTGGCGTTGGACGGTGGGGGAGCAGTGCGCATGTAGTGGCTATCGTGTCGTGTTGTTGTTGAGTTTCTGCGAGAGGTGCGGGCCCAGGGCATGTTGCAGGTGGAGGGTTGTGTGGCGCTTGGAGTGGGGGGAGAGGAAGCAGTTTGGAGAGTTTGGGTCGCCGTCTGTTTGGAACGTGTTAGAAGGGAGTTCTTTCAAAAGGAAGGGGGTAATGTACGGAGGTAGAGAGGAGGAGGGACGGGGGATTTCTTGAAGATGCCCATGGTGCTTTGGGGGAGATGTACGTATGTTTAATGCTTTAGCGTTTTAGTATTCAGGATGCGTATATGTATGTGTGTGTGTGAGGAGAGTCGCTCGATGGATGTATCGAAAATAACAGAAATTGCGAGATTTTTTAAAAGGAAATCGGTGACTTTAATGGAGTTTGGAAACGATGGAGTACTTCACTGCTGCTGCGACAGTCATGGTCAAAATGGAATAGTCAATGGTGAGCATCAGTATGCAAATATACACGTTAGACAACGTAATCGAAATTGCCTTCTTGAATGTTGGAAAGACAAGTAAATTAAGATAGTATACCAAACCAAGTATCATCTTAAGCATTCTTCTTAGGACAATATATTTAGCAGGTGGTAGTATACCGTTCGTTGAGAAGGCAACGCATGGACAGCAGCAGCTATGACATCACAGGGACGCGCCATCTCAGGGACCCTTATCACATGTCAGATACTAAAAATGCACGTAGTTTCTCGTCAGTAGCATCATGATATTTCCCCCTTTTTTTCCCAGTCAACTTTATGTGAACAAGTTCAATTCCTTATTGAATTCCCATAAATGAAAAATAAATGCAATCAATTCATTCATAACAGTAGCCAAAATAGTGTTGCTGGTATATGATCCTATCTCCCAAATTTCTTCAATCCCTCGACCCTACTCTAATAATCATCATCCTCATACCTCTGCTCTTCCCTTCCCTCATCATACGCATTCCCCATATTATCGCCAAACCTCTCCACACCACCGACCATGTTATCCCACTTGTTCTCAATGTCGTCTGGGATATCCTCAATCTCCTGGACCTTCTCTCCTGTCCACCTGGCTGCGTTTTCAGGGAAATCCTCGATGTTCTGAACGCCATCGTCCCATTTCTGTTCGACGTCGTCGCCGAAGTTCTCGACGCGGCCGGCTTGTTCGCCAGTCCAGTGCGCGACGTTTTCGGGGGCGTTTTCGATGCCCTCTTTAGCTTTGTCCATTTCTTCGCCTGTTTGGAGAGAATCGTGTTAGCGGATATTGTTTGTTGGAGCAAAGTGTGGTAATGGGAGGAGGGACTTCTTACCAATTTTATCGCTCTCGTGCATTAGTAGGGCTCCACCTGCAAGACCAGCGGCACCCGCTGCAGCGTACTTCCAGCCATTGCCTCCGCTCTTCTTCTCCTCTGGCTCAGAGCTCCGTGTAGGGTCGTATGCGCTCTGGTTGTATGCACCCTGATTGCTGTAGCCGCCTTGGCCATATCCATATCCGCCTTGTGGCGGTGGGGCACCGTAGCTGCCCTGCTGTTGTGCGAAGCCGGGGCCAGGGTAGTTGTATGTGCGTTCACCGTTTTGCTGGTTCACAAAGATCCAGCGGTTCTCCCGTCCATCCCACTCTGCGTACCATGGAGGGGAAACTGGTGGTGGTCCGGAAGACTGTGGTGGGGGGTAGCCCTGTTGCTGTGGTGGGTAGCCCTGCTGCGGGGGATAGCCCTGCTGTTGAGGCGGGTAGCCCTGCTGTTGTTGCTGATAGCCACCATACTGTTCTTGTGGGGGATATCCGGAATACCCGGATTGTTGTTGTTGCTGCTCGCCGCCGCCGCTCTTAGAGCCCTTGAATTCTGACATCAATTCACTGAGGAAACCCATTGTGTGGATGTGGGGGATGGATGTGTATGCGTGTGCGTGGTAAGAGGAAGAAGGTGCAAATGCAAGTGTGGGTTGGTTGGGGTGGATTGAAAGGATGAGAAACGTCAAGTGTCTGTGGACAAGGTATTAGTACTTGAAGGAAACGCGGCATTTAATTCATCCCAACCCGATCTCGGATGCAATGGCAGCTGCAGCTTAGTCGGTCAAAGAGCCCCTCAAAAGATCCATAGGCCCAGCGTACAAGCCTCAGTTTGAAACGTGGCGTAATCTCGGTGAGGCGGTGTCGCTACGCCCGGAGTTTGGACCAAGCAGCCACACTGTGACGGCGGTCCGAAACACACTTTGCAATGCCAAGTCCAATTCAGCGACAGTAGTTGTAAACACTGGTAGGTATCAAACATCAAAGACGCAATGTTTCCCTCGAATGAGTTGTTGACAACATGGCATCTCTGAGCTGGCATAGCAAAATGTATCAAGCCAAGCTTCTGTAAGCTTTTCTTGGCACAGCGGATGCTCCCTTTTTCTGCATATTGTGATCCTCGGCCCCACCGTGGCGAGACTTTTGGGGCGCAGCTCAGGGGCTATTGGCTCATGCTATACTTACTGTTGTGCTGCGCCACGCTCTCGATGAGATTAACATTGCCATGCCCCGGCCAACGGACGGATACAACGGATATGTTGTCGGCAACAAGAAACGGTATGTCATTGCTTGTTTAAACATGATCAGTCTAAACGCGCTCAGAGGCCACTTGTATTCATTCTTCGGATCTGGCGGCTCATCAACGAAGAAAAAGGGGGGGACCACAAGAGTCATTCTCCTGATTGTTGAATTTGAAGGATGCAGACTTCTTTGCACGTAGTAAAAAAACATTTGTCCAACAGACAACAATGGTCTGTCACCCTCTACAAGCATTTTTCCCCAGGCTAGAACAGGTGGGAACGGCCACAACGGAGTGGGGCTTCGGCGGGTGATCTGTCGGCGGTAAGCTCTGCAAGATTGCCAGGCTCAGCTGCAGGCAATAGGCAATTGTACATTGACCGCATAATGGGTTCGAGAAAGTCAAACATTCCACTTCCATCATTATCGTACGACCGAAAAAGCTGCTATCAATGAGGAAACTCCACGTCCTACATAGATCATGCACCTGATCCGCGAATAACCATGACCACTCGATAAATAAAATTTTGCATGGGCTCCTCTGGGTATCTTAATCGAAAACAACCTTCTTTCCCGCCGGCTTGGCCCCGCTAAGATCGATCTTGAGCTTCTTGCTCTCCTTGGCCATCTTAGCTGCCTGCCAGGACGGATGCAGCTCGCCCTTGTCATCCCTCTTCGCGCCAACACCAATCTTCCTGTCCTTCTTGTCGCTTCGCTCACCCAAAGGCTCTGCATTACCTCCGCTCTGCTGCGGTCCACGACCCAGTGGCTTGCCTCGTCTTTGACGCTTGTCAGTACCGCTGACTGCGCCGCGTTTAGGATCAAAGGTGGCACTGCGCTGTGTCTTTTCAAGATGTTTTGCTTTTTGTCCGTATTTGAGTTCTGCAATTTTTTGACGGGCACGTTGACCCCGGCGATTCTTTCGTGGGGCGACGTCCACATCAAGGTCTGAGGCTTCCGATTCAGAGCCGGAAAAGTAGGCGGCATGGCTGAGGGCAGGGATGAATGCAGAGGTTGTTGGCTTCTCCTCCATGGCCTTGGTCTTGATCTTTTTGGTAGGTATGACAGCTGAGTCGGAGTCAGAGTCGGACCCGGAGTTTGATTCTTCAGAGTCTGAATCCTCAGAGTCCTCATTCGATAGCAATTCGCCGTTCGCGCCGTCGACCTCCTCAATCTCACCCAACTCTTCACTTTCGCTTTCACTGGCAGTGTCGAGATCAGCATCAGGATCGTGTGCGCTGTCGCTCTCCACGATACTTGGAGGCCGCTCGTCGTCCGTCACAGAAGCTTCACTCTCATCTTCACCCGACGAAGGCTCTGCTATCCGTGCGCTGAACGCCATGTATGGATCATCTCCCTCGTCGCTCGCATCCTTCATATCAACATCTTCCTTTTTCGCAGTCTCCTTATCTTTTGGCGTCTTCTTCTCCTGCGCTTTCTTCCCACCAGCTTCTTCCTTTGCATCTTCCTTGCCCTTGGCGACTCCAAGTATGCCCTTCAAATCCTCCACCACACGGTCCACCACATTCTTCACCTGCTTGACCTTGAAGAGCCGTGCCGTGACATTGAGTGTATTCGCATCCTTATTTCCTTCTCGTATCCCCGCAATGTATTCCTGCAACGGCTCGGCATCCTTCAAGCTTTTGACCCTTGCCAGCGTCTTGCGCAAATGTTGATCGCCCACTTGTTCCAAATTGAGTGCTTTTAGCGTTTCATACTCGGAATTCAGGCGATGAATTGTCTTGGTCTGGTTCTTATTCACCGCGTATTTCTTTCTGCGACTGTGCTTCTGGCGCTCGAGCATCGAGGCATGGCGCAGTGCTTGAAGCAAAGGCTTTTGCGCATCAGCGAGACGCTTCTCACAGATTTTGGCGCATTTTGCGGGTTTTGATCTGGAAACCGACTCGATCGCGGGAGCGGGTGAGGAGCGCTTTCGTTTGGGCATGCTGGGTGATGGTATTTGGTTTGGTTGGGAGGTGTCGCGCCGAAATTTTGGAGATGCGCCAATTTTTTATCGATAAGCAGCTTGGCCCGATTGTGCCTTTGCTGTACTCGATTGTCACAACAGAGCTAATGCCCTCACCAACAATGACCTCAATCTTTGAATGAGTGCAATCGCATTAGTCTTGATGATAGATAGGAAGATAGCTAGTAGATATAAGAAATAGATTCAATCAGTCTTTGCACCCAATCTTGCACTCAAGCATGCGACACCCGAACAATCCAATTCTACACGACAAGTCCGAGTCCAACCAAGTAAACATCCTACTAACAATCATCCTCACAATCTCCAGCAGGCCAACATCCATACTTCTTATCGAACTTGAACTGATCATGAGGATCTTGATTGACCTTACCCCAGCAGCAGGTACCATAGTTATGACTCCTAGTATCGCAACCCTAGAACGGGATTAGCCAATCAACTATTATCTCCTATTCGAGCAAAGGATCAAATCGCACCGTAACGCATGAGCCGCGAATGCATTTCGGCTGGTATGGTTGCTGCTGGTATGGTTGCGGCTGGGGGCGTAATTTGGGAAGACCGGCATACGGATTTCGTCCCTGTGGACTGCATAGTCCGACGCCCACCATAATGGCAGCAAGGATGGCAATGGAAACCGAGTGACGCATGTTGGCGATAGAATTTGTTGTATTTATGGCTGGCAGTAGCTGTGTTGAGTCGATTTTATTTCGCAAGAATTGTTCTATGGCAGAACTAGAAGGAGAGAGATCTTTAATGATTGGAGCGAAAGTGCATGGCCCATTCGCCAGTCAGACTACATGCTATCGCAACAATTAGTAAGTTTCTTACAGCTGATCGGTGAACGTACCGTAGCTCGCACAACTAGTGAACAGGACCATGGCCCCGCCGAAGAGGAGTCGAATGCCCTTGGCAATGAAGGCTTGGACCTCTGCCTCCTAGGCCTTGCAGACTTGTCGGAGGATCCAGTAGCCAAACAATATCAGAGATTTCGGCCTCATGACGGGGTGTCAAAGTTGACCACCACGGGGGTCCCTCCGTTCCGGGGTGTACCAACGGTCCGGTATGCCCGGAAAAGGCTATACCATTGAACATAGATTAGCCATGGCCAAAAAAAGAGGAGAGGTAGATTTCTGAAAGAGAAGTGGAAGAGGAAATGCTTACGGTGCTTGTCCCCACACCACCGGCGAACGGAGAAATATTCCTAATGAACGAGGCATAACTGTAAAGAATTAGTGTTCAAATCGTCAAACTGTGTCGATTTTCTTGGGGGGCAAAGATCAAGGGAAGGTGCTGGGGAAAGAGGCGTGATATGGAGCTAAAGAACAATGGAATGACAGTCGTGTACGGTGAGACGTTGTATAGTTGCAATCATTTGGCATAAACTTACTAATACGGTAGCGACTGTTTTTGTTGTGAAAAAGAGAGTTCGGTTGAGAATATGTTGAAAAATGAAGCGAAGAATGAACTGGAAACCCAATTAAAGAATGAGATGAAAAATAGGCTGAAGAACCAGGCGAAAAATAAGGTTGAAGAAGAAAAGACGAGAGCAAGCCTGGAATGCGGGATTATATACCCACAGTGACTGCCCTTGAGAAGCACTTGGCATGATGTCTCGCTTTCGTTGGTGACTGTTCTTTAAGGTAAGAGCAATTGCCTTGGTAAACAAGCGAACATCAACTTACAGAATGCGCTTCATATGACGAAAACAGGTGCTTTCGGGCTTCCAAGGGTGGTAGGGAAAGAACTTTCAAGCCACGATGAGATGCATCTTCATCTGTATCGGAACATCGTTGTCGATATTGGACATAAACATTATTATTCTTCCTCCATTTCACTGACCGTAATTCCTATGTAGTGAAGAGATACGCTTAGAAGCAAAACCACGTTGCTATCCTCTTTCCCTTTCCTTTCCAACCCTTCTCCTCCGGTTCCATATCATCCTTTGTATACACATCCGTCTCCAGATCCATCTCACTCGCTTTCCTGAACTTGGTCTTCTTGATAAGCTTCCATGCTACAATCATGACGAAGAATACTGGCAGCTCAAGATAGAAGCTGACAAAGTCTACAGAGGCAAAGCTGGGGCTGAAAGCGGTCCAGCCTTGGACCAAGACAATAAAGGTATTGAGAACGATGCAGATAATGGGGCCCCACGGATACATCCAGTTACGGAAGGGGAGAAGATGTTCTTTTCCCTGGGCTTTGAGACCGGCGCGGAAGCGGAGAGACGCGATGCCGATGCATATCCAGCTCAGTTGGTTGGAGACGCCGACAATGTTTTGCAGCCATGTCCATACTTGACCTGATCCAGCAAAGGAGAGGGAAAAGAGGACAATTGACACGATGCTCGTCGTCATGACTGCTACCCATGGGACTTGGTAGCGCGTCAACTTGGTGAACACTTTGGGTGCATGGCCGTTGGAGCCGAGGGTGTAGAGCAGTCTCGATCCGGCGTAGAGGGCGTGATTTCCAGCAGAAATAACGCTAGTTAGGATCACGGCATTGACGAACGAGCCTGCGGCCTTTGATCCTGCCATCTGGAACGCAATTGTAAATGGCGACGTGCGACTGGACTTTGTGCTGAGTCCAGGGTAGTTGTAAGGGATGTTGAAGCCAATCATAGTAGCCGTGAGGATATAGAAGAGCAGAATGCGCCAGAACACATTCTTCACTACCCTTGGAAGGGTGCGAGCCGGATCGCGCGTCTCTCCTGCTGTAATGGCAATCGACTCGGTTCCTCCGTATGCGAATGAAGCTGTAACAAAGACGGACGCGAAGCCACCAATGCCTCCCACGAATGGCGCGTCGCCGATAGTCCAGTATTTCCCTCCGATGTAACCATAGCCCTCGTTTCCACCAGCATTTACTGCAATGCTCAAGATGATGAAAATGATAATGGTTACTACCTTGAGCAAACTCAGCCAGTACTCCAACTCGCCGTACGCTTTGACGTTGATGATGTTGGCTAGGACAATAAGCACCCATACGGCAATTCCCAGCGCATACCAGGGAACACTATCACTCCAATACCGGATTAACAACTGAAGCGCAACCAAATCCGCTGCCGTGCTGACAGCATCATTGAACCAATAATTCCAGGTCAGTGCGAAGCCAAACGCATCGTCTACGTAGCGCCCTGCAAAGGTGCAAAAGGACCCTGCCACGGGAACGAAAGCTGCCATCTCCCCCAAAGAGAGCATAGTGCAGAAGACGATGAAGCCAACAATGGAATAGCAGATGAGTAGAGAAGCAGGTCCTCCGGTCGCGAGGGCTTTGCCGGTACCGAGGAAGAGACCGGTTCCTATGGTTCCTCCAATTGCGATCATCTGAACTTGACGTGCCGAGAGGGACCTTCGCAGGCGGTCCTCGTTGATGAAGTGTGACGGTGTTTCCGTCAGCGTGTCTGGCGATGTCGCGACATCGCGGGGAGCTTTCTCGGGGTCCACGGCCGTCATCATGTTTCGATAAAGACAGTATCAGGATGCGATACAATGAAAACAAAAAGGAAGAGAGCAAAGCTCAGAGACAAGGCTCAAGGAAGCTTTTTCATGGCAAAAGCTTGGGATGCCTTGGGGGGGTCCAACACAAGGCGGGCTTGAGCGCATACATAGTTTGCGCCACGAGTCAGCGATCCTTTCTGGGTTTGCAGTAGCAGCTAAGCCGCAGGTAACAGAGCACGCCATTTCCCTCGCTTTGGATTGGGTGGGAAAGAGGGGAGTTGGGGAAAAAGTTTGGGTTACATTTGCCTCTGGATGTCCACCTGCATAGGATTTCTGCACCGCTAGATGAATCAGGTTAGTACTCCCGTAAGCAGAGGAATACGAACTTCATTAGTAAGGACAAAACCTTGAGACTGGCGTCATTGTAGGAATATAATGTGCATTCCTTGACATGACCTAAAGTGAAAAAGAGGATCCGGCTTAGTTAGTCTCGGTCTTTGTGGGCTTTGGCATCTTTCTAGAACGCATCTCGAACTAGAGCGTCTAACGCTGCATCGCGTACCTCGGAATGAGTGGAAACGAATCTCGGGCTCTATACAGTTTTCACCGATCGCTATGACCATTTATTAATGTTCTCCATCAGGTATCTTATTGGGCCATTGCACTCCTCTGCATGTACATAATTTCCTTGCCTTGAGTATTGGTCGCTGTTCTTTAGTAATCGAGTCTTCCAAGAGCATAGTGTTTCATTTTCCTATTCTCATTTCCAAGGCATACGCAACATCACTAATCTCAACACTAAACACCATATGCCTGAAAAATGTATATATTAAGAATAAGTGGTATAATGCTCCTGTCAAGTCTGAACAATTTCAATCCCAAACGGGTTTCCTAACCGCCCTTTCACTCTCGCAACATTAAGCCAGTTGGCCACGAACCGCACCAGGCAGCGCCAAACTGGAGTGAGTGTCTGCCATGAATGCAGCAGGGTTGGCCTCAATCATGCTCACGTGGAAGCCCTCGCCTGAATCCTTGCCCTCGACCATGACACCAGTAGTAAAGGGTCCTTTCAGGCACCCTGCGCTGTTTCGCACTGCCACATCTCCATTGACCGGTTCTGGGTTGGGGAATGCGATTCTGGGTGGTCCGCTTGCGCCGCGCGCAGCCTCGTGGATGTGGGTTGCGGTTGTGGCTGGGGAGTCAAACTCGCCCTGGAAGTTGTGCAGGGTGATGTTGTAGCAGATCATGTTGGCTGCGCTGTTGATTCCGAAATTGAATGTTCCGGAGGCGCCAGCAATGCCACCCGTAGGCTCGGTACCGTTGACGACTTCCTCAGGAACGGCGTGGACAGCGTGCATGGAAGTGAATGCGAAGAGCTCGTTGGCATCAAGTGCATTTACTACTGCTTCCTTGTTGCTGATGTCGATGGAGAATGATAGTTGCATGTGGCCGTTGCCGAGGTCCATGGGTGATGCGGTAATTGGTGCGGCCACTGCGCTGAGGACCAAGCTCGCGATGGTGGTGAGGGTTGCGGTATACATTATGAGTATTGTCGATCTGAAGAAAACAATCCAAAAGGCGTCGAAGAAATTCGTATGAAACGAGTGTACAGACTTGAAAGAAGTGAAAGAGAAGCGAAGAAAGAATGTGTGAAGAGACTGATCAACAGTGAATTACTCCTACCGAGCTCTCCCATCAGCACGTTGTGGCCTTTATATACATGTGCGCTGCAGGAAGCTTTGAAAATCGTACGTGAATGCCTTAGTACCAAGGCTTGGTGTTGGCCTGGATGCACGAATCCCGACATTTGAGGCAACTCTGCGACACATTACAGGTTTCGCACATCTTGGCCCACCCAACACCTGGAGAGCCAGTCCGACCAAACAGTTGTTGTAAACAACTACCGCCAATAGCAAATGCTCCCACCAACGGGATACATGGGTGCGGATGCGCACGGTAGCTGAGACTGGTAGAACCCTTTCTTGGACGTGTTACTTGTGCATCCAATTCGGCATGAAGGGGTGCCTCGCGTCTTGGCCCAGCGATGCCATAGCCGTTTGCGTATTTTTTTGCTTGTTTGTCGTCCGATTTTATGAGTCGCCATCCTCAGGCAAGCGGGTTTGTAACAGATCAGCGGAGGAAACGCATGCGTTGAGGCTGAGAAGGATTCGCGGCTCTCTACCTGCCAAGCCCATCATGTAGGTTGACGTGACTGTCCCGCTGTATAGCTCTTTTGATCATGTGACGAGATGTGGTAGTAGTAGTAGTAGTAGTAGAACATATGGAAAGCTTTGTCAAGGCTCAATGACAAAGGCAAATGAGTCCAAAGTCCGCTTAGCATGTCATGTCCATTGTGCTCGTCGTTCAACTGTACTACCCGAGGCCATTGCTGAATCTCGGCGTACAGTACAAGAGATACCGGGCTTGTAATGAGTGAGGAATTGACAGGGAGTCATTGTTTTGAGACATAGAGAGAGTACACATATATGTACATACTACACACTGTCTGTCGTGTTGGACAAGTGAATAGTGCGTCATAGAAGTTCGGAGGGCACGGGACCGCCACCCGCCGCGTCATCTGGGGATCCCGCCAGTACGTTCCTCCGCCTCACAACAAAATGCTTGGCAGAACACAGCCCCTCGGGCTTCGTATAATGGACTTTCTCACACGCAGTCAGCCAGACTGACTAGCTCTCTGCTCTTGTTCTCCTCCTCACTTCCCCACGCCATGGCTCCATCGCGTCCTGATCCGCCGATTCCTTCGTATGAAGAAGCCGTCGTCGCATCTCCCCGTACAAGTGTACCAACAACTCCGCTCCCACCGTCATCTGAACCCACGCCGACGGAACGGGATTCCCCAGAGTCTGAGGCGACACCTACGATCGCTTCTACATCGCTCCCACCAGAACTACCGCCTGCATACGCCGTCGTTGATGAGAAAGCCACTACCTTCACCATATATGGTACCTTCATTCACACCCCCAATGCCCCCGCCTATCAGCTCTCCTCCCTCCTCGATACGTCCATCAACAGACTGGGAATGCGCAGACTGCGTGCAGAAGAAGTCACGATGCTCCAAGCTGGCGCACCAAACGTCCCATTTACCAGCAACGGCCTCCTCTACGAAGCCCACGATCCGCCCTTCCTCATAAATGAATACTACGTCCAGGGAAAGTCTGCTCGTGCGCTTCCAGGCTCCCTCCTCGTGCGGTTTGGTCTACGCCGCTGGCACGTCGCACATATGCCGACACAGGGCAGTCGGCCAATAGAGATCATGACATGTGGGAAGCTTGGTGGCTTCACCAAAGCAATCAAACAACGCAAGAACGAAATGGAACCTAGTCAGTGGAAAGACTCGGAAGGCCATGTCGTTGCCACTGAGGTGATGAAGATGGGCTACGGAGGGAAAATGCCAACAATCGAGTTGAGGAGTGATCTCGACCAGACATGTAGGGAGTTGATTCTCGCACTGTGGGTCACGAGACTGTGGGCAGCTTTTGGTGCGGGAAGCAGCTTTATGACATGAAACCGTGATGCACGCTATCCGCGGAAAGTGACACACATGAAGGGACGTTACGATTTGTTTGATCATTGATTCGACATTTGGGGTCGTTATTTTGAGCACTTCCTCGGGCTAAGGCTTCCGCCGTCTATTCCTTTCGGACAACCCTCTTGAATCCCTGGCGCGCAACTTGAGCTTTTGCGGCCGCAATCACGGCGGAAGCATTGGGGTCGTTGAAACCGCAACCCGTCTTTCCGTTCTGTTGACTCGCTACTTCAGCACTGCATACACCGGCACCGGTCGAGGCAACCTGGGCACAGCATGCTGAGCTGCAGTCGGCATCGGACACACATCCACCGGTGATGAACTGGGCACCGTTGCCTTGGCCAACATTCTTAGCGCCCGCATTGTTAGGTGTGACCTGAGCCATGGACATGGCGGCAACTTGAACGTGTTAGCTCCACAGTGTTATAGTGATATATGGGCTGCCATTTACTTACGAGTGAAGAGGGTGGCAATGGTGAAACGCATTTTGGATTGATTTAATGGATGGTTGGTTATGTGAAGAGTTGGGTATATGCTTTATGAGAGAAAGAGATATGTACGTGAGTTAAAGACACCAGGTCAAAGAATCCGCAGTCACAGACGGCGAATTGAGAAGAGAGTATTAGATGTTGGGATCTTGAAGTTGGAAGTGAAGCTGCTTGTCTAGTTGGCTCGTAGGTATACTACATTTATATCTCCTTAAGGCTCCTAACCGCATCGTCCCCCTTTCTCCTCGCCATCACGCGCTCGCGGTGATGGCATGAGCGGGATCCTGAGGCTGTTGATGCGTGATCTCCTATTGTGCAACGTCCGACGAGTAGTTGGAGAACACTTGCAGTGCCACTCTTCCGCTTCACCGTCAAAGCATCTCCATACGCACCGTCGCATATAGCCTCGCTTCTGTGCCACATAGATTATTGAGTAGCAAGCTTGATGCCGGTGTCCATTGTCGCATCTCCCAGGCCAGTCATAATTGACGTGGCGATGGGGCTGAGCTCCATAGCACGCTGTCTCGGCATGCGTTTCAGGCATTCACTCGGGTGTGACGCGCGTGTCAAATGTGTCAGATGAGTTTGACATATTAACCGCATTAGAACAGAAGGATCATGAATACTTGTGGTATTATAGATATGTCCAAGCCGGAGATATTTTGCACATCAAGTCGTTCCTCCACATTACGATTGCCACTGCAGTTTTGTATGTACACGTCGTTGGAGCCATTAGATCCGCCACACCCTTGTCGTTCCATTACATTACGGCTCATCGATCTTCTTCTTTTGCGTGGATTTTCTCATTCAAGTCATTCCATCGTATTCACACCGAGTCGAAGAAATCCATGATGATTCTGCTCGCTTGGATGACCGTAGGTCCTTGCCCCGCATACGACTGCGAGAAATTGGGTTCGGTATCAGCCCAGGCATGTCCTATGATCGCTCGTTAGCCACAATCAACCAACAAATACTCCGAGTTCAAAAAAAGAGAAAACAGACTTACTTAGGTGCATAACTTCGTAATGCTGGATTAGACCGGATTTCCCACCGCAACCCCAAGACCAATGTCGCACCTCGCTCCCAAACGTAATATTCACACTACTACTCTCACACTTATAGCGCAGCGCCCATGAGTTCAGCCAGTTAAAGATCGAAGGCAGTTCGCCGCCTTCACCCTTGCCGCCTGCATATGGAACGTCCTTGTCAGCTCCACCATGGATTTCCAGCAAGGGTACCTCCTTCGACGGTGCGCACCCATTATCAGGCCCATTGACATCCGTGTAGAAAGCACCCGAGTGCGCCGCCAGACCCGTAAAAAGCGAACTCCCCTTCTCATCGCACGCCAGTGTTCCAATGAAACCGCCACCATTAGACATTCTAACATGATTCCGCGTCAGCACCTTCAAAAGCAAAAGACACTGGCAACCACAACACGCAACGCTACCACATTTCGAAATCGACAAAAAGTCGTATACGTGCTTAGTGAGAAAGAATAGAAAAGGCTCAAACTTACCCAAACCCAAACACCCTCGCCTCATCAACACACACTTTCTTCTCAACATCCGCAATAACATCCGCCACAAACTGCACATCCTCCTCTACACTGCTCCCATTATGATAACTTGGCCCCGCCCAACTTCCCCCCACCCCTTCTAGATATACCATGATCTTACCGCCGGAAAACGTCTCGTTGTTGAGCTTCGTGTCCAGCGGGACCGTCATCGCACTGCTCTGACTGCCATGAAAACCCAGGACAAGCGGGTACGCGGTGTCGCTGTTGTAGGTGGATGGGAGATGGATGAGGTAGCTACGATTTTGGCCGCTGGAATCGAGGTATTGGGCTGGGAGGCTGAGGTCTTTGTATGCGATGCCGCAGCCGCTGGATTTTTGGGGGGAGGCGAGGGTGCTGGTGAGGAGGGTGGAGAGGAAGAAGGTGAGTTTAGGTAGGGGTGGCATGGTTGGGTTTTTGATGCTTTTGTTATAATGACGCTGGATGGTAGAGCTGAATGAGTGATTCTTGGCTGCAGAGATATATGGGGTTTTGGACGCTAGTTGATAAAGTTTGGGGGCTTTTCTTACTACATCACCCGACGTCATGTATACAGGGGATTGGATGTAAGCGGGTTCGCGATAGCATGTTGTTGGACATGGAGTATGGTGGTGAGCCGTGTTCGGTAGACCGATGGAATGATTACAAGAAGACTCCCCCAAATTCTGCCTTGCGACTCCGACACGCGGGGGGAATTGTCGGCGCACCTATTCAAAGCTTCGTTAGTAGATATGAAATGCTATGAAATTGTGCAAGCTTTCATAGACTAGCCTTGGTATCCCGTCGAGGTAGGCACGTATGCATTGCCGGGTAGTTGCCGCTCTATTATGCAACTGATAGTCACACTCGCCAAGATGTCCAACTACAGTTGCCGACTACCCGAAAAAGGCTTTACCGGCAGAAAGCTGTGGAGAGTACACGGGCAATACGGTGTGAGACGATTAGTGATGAGTGAAGGGCGGCATAGTCATTCGTACCGGTCCCACCATTCTTGCATGCCTGGACCTTTTCCGTCGTCTTCCGATGCTGACACGCTGAAAAAAACTCAACGGAAGCCAATCATGGAGCTTCGGAACCTGCATATTGAATTGTTTATTTATTCCAAATCACATGCCGCTCTTAATATCAACTTCCTGATGACCCGGGCTCGGCGGTACATCGCCGGTTTCCCATACCGTCTGTTCATGGCCCAGCGCAAACAAAATCTCTCCACCCTCTGTCATAATGCCACCGGCATCTTCATGCTCGAACCAATTCTTATTCCACTTTCGACCGTTGACACTAACACTCTGCACATAGTATCCTTGCCTCCCATCTCCATCATCCAATCCTTCAGCTCGGATTCTAAGAGTCTTGTCATAGTTTACTGTGATGTTGATATCAGAAAACCAAGGACTCTCGAGAAGATACACGGGTGTGGTAACGATTGGATACAAGCCCATCATTTGCCAAACCAACCAACAATTCAACGCGCCAGCATCACTATTTCCAGGTATGCCGTTTGTGGTATTGAAGTAGAAGTCATTAGCGAGTTGGCGCGACCTTTCTACACTCTTCCACTGCTTGTTAAGGTAATTGTAAAGGTACGGCGTTTGGAAGTCCGGCTCGTTGGCAACATTATTAATAGTCGTGATACCGAGTCCATTGACACCTAGATCGACGCCAGACGTGTTTGATTGAAAGACGTAGTCGAGTCGCTCTTCAAAGTGCGACGGACCGCCCATGAGGGTAATCATGCGTGATACGTCATGAGGGATGACGAATGAGTATTCTGTCCAAATTAGTACATCGAAAATAATAAACGCATGGTCGAATTGGCCCACCAAATGCAGTTCCCTCATAACTTTCATCCTGCCAATTACATTCGCCGCAATTGGTGATGTTATAAGTTTTATGAAAAGTACCGTTCGCATATCGTGGCATAACAAAGCCAGTAAAGTTGCGACTCGATGCTTCGGGGTCCCAGCTCAATTGCCAGCCTGACGACCTCCGCAAGTAGAAGTCCTGGTCACCAGGCGCTTCGCCTGCTGCAATCTGACTTACAGCAAAATCATTGAGCGAATATTCTACCGTTTTCGATACTGCGCGCGTATTCCGGTCTGCTGAAACGTAACCGAGTGGTATCCAATCGTCGAGCGCTGACCGACCCTCCTTGAGAGACCCTTGTGGATCAACGGGATTTTGGTCGAAGAAAGGCAGAACATCGGCATCTTTCTTGACTGCTGCATAGCCCTCGGTCCAATTGATCATACCCCTCAGCCCTTTGACGTAAGCGTCAGCAAGAACATTGTCGGCATTTGATCCTCCTTGTACCAGCCCATTGTAGTTTCCAGACCGCCCGTCAGGTAAGTATCCTTCATTCTTGAATATATCAATCAAGGACCTGACCATCGATTCGTAGTAACTTGGCTGAATGAGATGCCATAGCGAGACTTGGTTTCGGAAAAGGTCCCACATCGTGTAAAAGTCATCCCAAGACGGCTCATCAGACTCCCATAATGGGTTCTCGCCTATCCGCTCACTTGGAATAAGGTGCATGAAGTACAGGCTTGAATACAACAGCGCAAGTCGCGTCCTATTTGCGCGCTCAGATGTGTCAACCCGTATTTTGGAAAACACGTCGCGGTTCCATTCGTCACGCGCTGCCTGAGCAGTGTCTTCGATGGACCAAGTTGACAGCTCAACGTTCTTGTATGCGCAAGCTTTATCCACCGATATAAAGGATATTCCAACTCGGGACTTGATCTCATTGGCGTTGCTCCAAGTAAAGAGCGCGCCAATACGGTCGTTCATGGGCCCCGAGCGAGCAGTGTTACCAGTAAATGTGGGTTGCGGCGTTGTACCGTTGTTGAACGTCCGAAAATGACGACTCACAGGGAATGTGTTTCGGCCTTTAAATGCCTTCGCCTCATCGGGTACGCTATCAAACTCTCCACATACGTAGACGGTGACTGGTGCGCCAATGTTCCATCCCCCAGCAATGGAGGTATAGCCAGTGTAGATGCTGGAATTCGGCTGAATCTCGATTTCGCCGCCTGTGTAAAACTGAGAGTCCCAGGATCGTGTTGGATGTGGGAGGTAGTGGGATAGATCCACAAGTACGTGTTTCTCTGAAGTTGATGGGTATGTGTAGTGATACAGTCCTGCGTGTCGCGAAGCTGACAACTCAACTTGTACACCTGATTCAAACTCTGTTCGAAAGTAGCCCACTGAAGCTGCATCTTCACCGACCTGAAATTTTGTCAACCAATGCACGATGAATATTGGTACTCAACGTACGCGATCTTGCCAATATGTGCGATTATCCAGCAAGTTGACATCGCTGTCAATTCTTGTAAGCGGCATCTGAGAAGGATACCCGTATTTCGGTCCACCTCCCGTTCCGGATTGATGCAACAGGCTGATACCCGTGACATGACCTTGGGGTGTATATCCGCCATTCAGCGCGCTTTGATTGATAGGCTCTTCGTAGCTGTCGATGCCTAGTTTCACCATGCCAAAGGGAACTGCACCACCGACGAAGACGTCGCCACCTCCATCTTCACAGTATTAGCAATGGGATTGGGATAGAGACAAAAGGCCAGGTGACTTACATGCATAGCCTGGTATAGCGCCCTCAGTCCCTATGGACGGATTCACGAATTGTGAATAATCGACATCCTGCGCGTCTGCATATTGTCGCTCCACCATCAGAAGTATTGTGAGTACCTTCGCACTAAACATTGTGAAAAGAGGCGATGGAGTGCAAAGAAAGTACATGACCTCTTTTCACAATGCATGTTCACCCACCTTTGCGCACCACTTTCAAGGTAAATACCCCGCTTATGCATATCATTTCCATAGTCGCAGCCACTAGCCTTGACCAAGTATCAAGGTTACATTGTTGAGTGTTCCTTCAATGGAACTGTAGATGTGGTATAGTATGACGTAACTGTTAGCGCCCCGCCTTCCCCGTCTGATACTTGCCAAGATGCGGAGTTAGCTTTGGGAGGAGGCATGATATGCTTTGCAATATTTTGCATTTCTTCTATACTACTACATCAAGAAACAACGTCTCAACTCCACCACTAATATCATACCCAAAATTAAGATTTACTCGTATGAGATAGGCTTTGTTACAGCTTAGTAGTAGTACAGTGGACTTGGAACTATTACTCAAGTTTAAAGGCTTTCTAAGCTCTTTTATCTATATTGCCCAATATTCCAATTCCAATGTTCAATTATTTGTCATTCTCAGTAGAAATGAGGGGATTGATATGAATTCCCGTGTCTTCGACGTATGTAGGTATAGGGTCTGAGGCCTGGAGCAACACACATTCCACCATTTCCGTAAGCTTATCTCCACGAACTCCTGATTTTAACTCTTCCATTCGAATATGCACGTTGGAGAGAGCAGGATTCAGGTCTAAAGCTCTCTGCATTGCGTCTAGTGCATCACCGCTTTGATTTCTAGCATTATCGTACTGGTGGGAAGTGTTAGTCATTGAAGCGGATTTGAAGCATGTGCTTACAAGAACCCCGAGATTGTACCATGACTCCCACGTGTACCCGTTCAATCGGATGCTTCTTGCTATAGCGTCAAGGCTGTCGCGATATTGATTAAGCTTGAAGTAGAGTACTCCAATCGTAATCCAAACATCAGGAACCATGTAGTAATAATTCGCGCAGAGTTGCAGTGCATTATACGCTTCAACGAAGCGATCTTTGGCTAGAAAGGCTCTTGCCAAAAGGTAGTAAGGAATCCAATCTTTAGGGTCTGTTCCACATGTCAGTTTCCAAATACTCATGTGATCAGTCAATAAACAGACCCGTCGCTGTCGTCCGTTCCAAGCGATGAATAGATTCATCAATTCTCCCTTTACTGAGCGCATGCCATCCGAGGTATAGATTTGCTTGGAAGTCAGATGCATCATCCCCAAGCTTCTGGTACGCTTCTTCTGCTGAAGCGAGAGGAGGCGGCCGCTCATATACCTGTATCCTTCGGAACATGCCAATGGAGCCTTCGCAAAGTTGAATAGGGCCAATCGACGAGCTGTCAATCTTCTGTACACGCGTTTGAATGCTGCTCTGACTTTCGGTAGATTCAAGCATTGTGGGCAAAAATGGAACCTCAGCGTATAACTTCAGCGGTAGAGAATGAAGGAGTGCAGAGCTCGACAACCGACTACATGTTGAGCTGCAACATATTAGTAATCGAATCTTTAGCCTCACAGGATACCCTACCATATTTTGCCAACTTCATCAGCTTGGCTGAATAACGTCCCAGTACAGGAGGGATAAGGACATGTATCTTTCGAAACAGGAAGCCCAGGGACAACCATCGCTTGCTTTATGTGGGCACCTGGTCTGATAATTGAAACCCACGGATTTGATTGGCCGACCGAAAGCCCCGTCTTCGCAAGAGTAAGCTGAAACTGGCCTCGTAGTATGTATTCCAATCCCGGTCGCTGGTTCCCATAAACAACTACCTTTAGTATGTCTGTGAATGACTTTTCGGGTGCAGCTAGTTAGCTGAAATGTATAGAGGGCATTGCACTGGCTACATAACCCTACCTCCCATGTTTGACACGCTTGAAAAGGCAAACCCCAGCTTTCTCCGAGTGCGTCGTCAAGGCGGATAATGTCGACCGAAAGATGTAGGGGAACGGATTCGATGGCTCGAGCAAGCCTTTTCATATGGCCTGCTATATCAAGAAGCATGCGGCTAGGCAGTTTTAGTGTTCAACATCTTTGGCCACATATGAAAGAGAAGACAACTAACGTATTCTGGCTAATGGCTTCGAGAATTTCTTTCGAATATTTCGAGAACCTAAAAGATTTAGCCCATGTTGTGCATCGCAAACTGTGCCAAAAACCTACAAGTGAAGAAGCTTCCTCAAGTCATTCAAGACGGAATACAACCGCGCTACTTCTCGCAAAATCCGGGCTTTACTAGAGCGAATTATCTCCATGCTATTTTTCCCTTGAACGGATATTTCCGTTACCTGAGATTTTAGCCCTGCAACCATTTGTGCCATCTCTGTGTCCCTTCTTGCCTGTTGTTCTCCGTTCCGAGCGATTTCCAGATGTATATTGGCGATTGAGTCGGGCAGATTGTGAACCAGATCCAAGATCTTGGAGGTCTTATCCAAAATGGTATCAGAGCTTTGACGGGAGTCTATTGAGCGAGAAGTCAATCTTTTGAGATTGTTTCTGTCAATGGTGTAAGTATCCACACCGCTCTCAGTGCAACTATACTGACAGCTGCTGCACGCCCAAAAGTATATTAATTGCAGCCATTTCTGACAACACAACCTTTCGTAATTCTTCGATATCTCTTTGCGTGACCATAGACCATTTCATTCGGATCCCTACATCGTTGAGCCGTGCAGTCCGATAGTGGCCCAAGGAACGTTCTTTTGATAGTAGCTTGTCAATGAAGCCTTGCAAAGGCTGGTGACAATGGCTGGCTATGGCTCGTATCCGCTCGAGAACCTGCTTGTCTTCCTGATCGTCTGTTTGGGTTTGGACCACGTGCATGAGAGTACGTTGTAGCAGGTCGAGTTCGATAGAAAGATTTTGGAATTGTGCTGGAGCATCGCGGTAATTCTTAATCTCGATCGCGATTCGCTCAAAAAGTCCTAGCACTGCGATGAAGTCACCGGTTCCGAATCCGAAAGACATTGTGGACCGCTGCACTTTTGAAACCGCTGGCACTGGTGTAGGAGATGGTGGGGTAAGTGGCCACCCAAGGCCCCTACCTCAGTCCACAGCGTTGACAGTAGGTTGCGGGATAGGCTGGAACGTTCAACAACGATGTGCAGATAGTGATGACGGGTAGTGGAACATGATAATGGATAACCGCCAGAGTAGTCGATAGAGTTGAGTTATGAAGCTCCGCTGCAGTGGGGCAGTGCAAGCCACGAACGAGGCTTAGCCGCTTCGCACCACACCAGCCAGCCTGGCAGCGACGATATGAAATATAAGTCTGGTTCGTACTTCACCTCATTTCTAAGCTGGTTTTTGAACTTGCGGCGATTCTGGTGTTTGCCACGTAACAAGGTGCTGCCTGAATCCATAGATTCCTGACATCTTAGCACAGCTACTTAAGGCAGAGCTTCTCAGAGATAATTAGATGACATTCCTTTGTACATGAAACCCCCTCTGGGACTGGTCAAAAGATCTACCTAAAGCTTCACCAACATCATTCATAAAATAAGTAATTGTGAAAGCCCATCTATCAGCGCTGAAGGAGCGGTACAGCTTGAGCAATGTTTTCTATACATTGCTCAAGCTGCACCTCCATTCAGTACCGCCAGCTGGGTTTCTATGTTACCCACCAAATAAATGATGTTCGAAAAACTACATGACTGGGGTGGGTAGCGATCCTCTGAATCCAGGCAATAAAAGAGCAAGTCGCAATGGAAAGAGCAAGTAATAAAAATCAAGAAGAGCAAATAACAAACGCATATGCCACGCCAGTCATACAAATACCTCGCCATCCCAGATCATAAGCCCCAGAGGTAAAACGCCAGTAAACGCCAGTAAACGCCCCAGATTAGTATTCAATTCAAAACAGATGCTGAGTGAACATGAACAAGTGATGAAGGAAAAAAAAGACATGAAGGCCGTTTCTTACTTCCTCTGATTGAAAGGAAAGTTACCGGCGGGGCCGTATCGCGAAGAACCAAGACCAGGGGAGCCAAAACCGGGCGAGCCATTGGGAGGTCTACCGTAGTTGTTGCTCTGCTGTGAGTGGCCACCGGCCGAGCGATATACACCTTGGAGCGTTGCATTCATCTGGGAATGCATGGCTGTCATATAGGCCATGAACGCCGGTGCTAGCTGATCTTCAGGGGCCTCGGCAATGGCCTTTTGGTAGTACTCATTGACGTGCATGTTGTTGAATTTTTGTTTCCGGTAAAATCCAATCATCGCCGCCCTTTCCTCGTCCGACCTTTTCACAGCACTCTTGAGGGCGTCAATCTCAGCGGCCTGTTCGAGGTTTTGACGTTCCAGAACATCGACCTTTTGTTGGAGGCAGTCCGCATGGTGGCCGATAGTTATGATGTTGCTGCCGTAAGCGTGAATAAAGCGATTTACGCAAGTACAATGGTTGGCATGCTCCTCTTGGAGAGTTGTGGAAAGTTCCCCGACTTGTTCTCGAATAGAGTGCTGTTCGTGCACCATATCCGTCACGGTCCGTACTATCGCCCTCACGTCCTCATCTTGCTGAGTGACGGCTCGAGAGACACCAAGAAATTGCTCCTCAACTTCCGAGATCCGAGTCTTGATGTGTTCGTGTGATGCGGTAAGGGCTTCCAAAGTGAGCATGGAGTGATCTTTGGCTTCCTCAAGGGCCTTGATCAGTATAGTCTGGCCCCATGCCTTGGCTTCGGACCTCCGCAGCCTCTTCATGACTGCTTCATGTGAAGCATGGAATTCCCGGTGAAGATAATTCCAACCGAATGTCAGGATTGGCTCGAGGATGGCGAACAAGGCGATGGATAGCCAGAAGCAAATCGCGTACGGGAATTGGGAGATAGCTCTATTGAACATGGATCTCCTGATGGTATTAGTTGATGAAAATGATGAGATTTGTATAAGATGTTTACGTACCCATCAATCTCAGGTATATCCATGCATAAGCTCACGGCAAACCAAAGAGGTTTGAAAGTGGTGTAATACACCATGAGCAGTAGAGTGTGGGCCAGTCCCATGACAAGGTCCGAGGAGAGAGAGTTGAGGTGGCCAGGAGTGTTTCGAATGGTGGTGTATATGATCCCAGCCTCAGGTTCAATTGCTGGATCACACACAGTTCTGGTTGGGATCCTTTGTTCTTCAAGAATCACAACGACGGTTGGAGTCACGCCGACATCTGCTACAACCCCTGGTTGCGCGAAGCCGACCGCACTGTCGAAGGCGCTATTGGAGACTCCATATCCTTCAGAGGATTTGTTGCTGATGTCGTAGCCAATTGTGACTTCGGAGTTCGGGATATGCGGATCGTGAGGGCGGAAGACAGTGTTTGATGTGATGGAACTCAGTATAGCGAGGACGAGTACTCCGAGAGGGCACATCATGATGACTGAGTATATTGAGATATAATTGAAGGTTGGATGTATTACGAGAAGAGATGATGGTTGAGAACCGTGTTGGGAGAGTGGTCATAGTTGAGGAAAGTGCAGCTATATTAATAGTGTGTGGAAAGCGTGTGAAGAGCAAGTTGACAGGAGGTGTTCACTGATTGCAGTTATGGTGAAAGTGAAAACTGCAGTAACCTCCTGCATACGGCACCCGGCAATGCTCTGCCAGTTGCCTGGGGTGTGAAAACACAATGTTCTGGCGGCTGCCTAGGGCTTGAAAAGGCAATACTTTGCCAGGTGACTGGTGGGTGGAAGTGAATCAGATATTCACGTGGTATTTTTCTTGGCACCTTGTCCTCTCGAATCGGCAAGGTGAATGAAAGGGAACTCAGAAGTGTCGTCATTTTAGGCATTCACTTGACCATCTGTCAGTGGTTTTTAATTGAGGGGATAGATAGGTATGAAATGATAGGTTTAGATGGATATCTCTTAAGGAGAATTAGATGGTATAAATACATAACACGACTATTCTAGAGTGGCCTATGTGGGGTTAGACCTAGATAGGGTGAAAAGTCAAAGGTAACTCCAGCAATTGCTACCAAACAGGTGTACCGACCTCAGTGTCAGAGAGGCTTTCTGTAAGTCCTTGCGTTTTGTCGTCATACTGGTATTGCTCGATTTAGTCCGAACATTGAACATGATTGCCTTCTGCAGCCAGCCAATGCGATACCCTCAGCGTTGGAATAATCATTTGTAAATACTTGATTCAAATCTTCGTGATGCTATTCCTCGGCTTAATCGAAATATCGCTTGCAAGTACCCTCTGCAGCTATGGAATTACAAAGCGTATACCCTCGTTGACAACGGCCTCCTTGACTCCTAATAGATGCTTGAAGACGGTGGCGCGGGCGCCGCTCTTGAGTTTGTAGATACACAATTCCACCTCAAAATCGCCAAAAGCAGTGTTCATGGCCTAGAAATAGGATAGTTCTGGTACCGTTATTATGTCGAGTGGGTTAGAGAGACGACTAGATCGTGGACGGTGGCGGCAGTAACTCGAGTGCGGAGGGTTAACATCATAATCATAGCTCGTAAGCGGCGCTGAAAAGTGCTGCAGCTTATCTCCCTGTGGCTATACTTGACCGCTACTCTAGCTACTCTAGCTGCTTTGGCTACAGCCAAAGAGAATACGTAATGGACATTCTTAATACTGATCTGATCACATTTCTTCCTGCACAATCCACCTCCCCCCTTCGAGTGATCGTCGTATGCAGCCAAGACTGCAAAGACATACCGGTATCCCTTGCTAAACTAGCGCTTATACCATACTATGTGATAGTTGACTTCCAAGAACTTTGGATCTTCATCTCTTTCTTTTGTTGGTCAAGCCATGTAGTATAAACCCATCGGGAAGGATATGCGACTCGACCAAACCGATCAAGTCACTTTACCTTCAGACCCATAATTCATAATGATTCTCTTGAGCGAGGTGAGACCATTACACAATTCGTGGAATTAGTCATTGGAAGTTTGTTGTACATAGCTTCGGAATACATAAAACAATCATTGATGGAGTAAGCCAGCTTTCCTCTCTGCCAATAGTGGGTCCTCGGAGAAAAGAGGAACATGGAAGTGATATAAAGCTCTTATTATTGACACACTGTGGCTAATCATGAAGCACTAAAATATTCACTAAAATATTCACTCAGTTCCAAATTACGCAGTGGAAAAGATCTACATCGGAACAAATACCACCCGAGCTCTTCGATCAAGCAACGACCTCAAACCTTGGTCTTGCGCGTCAATTCTCGACGCAGCTACATGCGCTCCACTTCGGCAGAAGTGTATCTCTTTACAGAACAAACTTTTTGGTATCATGTCCCCGCAATAATGAATGCATTCTCGTACGCCGTGTGGAAGGAAATCATTACCCTAGCAACCTGGAGGGTCCGCCCAAGTCCAGCCGAACCCTGTCCGAAAAAGGAAAAAAAAGCCAACACCTTGCAAAAAAAAAAGAAGGAAAGAAAAACGCAGCCAGAACACAACAAAGAAAAAGAGATTACCAAACCTCCAAAACAACATACCAGCGAATGATGCTTCCGACCAAAAACGCCCAACTTCCAACCATGGCTGCAATCGCAGCTCTGATCTCACCCTCTTCTACAGATGCCTCCTTCCGAAACAAGAAGATGCCCGCCATCATGAACGCAAAACCTCCGATTGTGTTCAAGAAAGCGCTTACCCAGTCAGGGTCCGTGATCTTTGGTTTGTACCAACGCTCCTGCTCTGAAAACGCCAACATGGCATTGCCCACGAAAAACAACATTCCGTGGACGACCTGAGGCCCAAAAACAATGGAAGCGAAGTAAGGGCTTTCCTCGTCCACCACACCGGGGAAATCCACAATGCCACCGAACATGAAGATGATACCACCAAAGAGGACGATAAGACCTGCTTGGAATGCCAAGCTGTTCACTGTGAGGTCCAACAGCTTGGTCCAGGAAGGGATCCAGCGGAACTGCGGTGTACCAACTAGAGCAGGTCGGTACATAACTTTGTGAGGGTTGGACTTGGTGGCTCCGATTTGGCCACTGTCGGCATTGAGGGCGCCAAAAGTGTCGAAGATACCGGCGATGAAGAAGAGGATTGAGCCGATAAGAATTGTGAGTGGGACCGCGACTATATCATCTTCTGATTCGGCAAAGGAAGAGGAAGGATAGAGGCGGGGTAGTAGGTCGAAGAAGGCATTGATTACGAGGTCGATGGAGCCAAGTAGGAAGATGATGGCGACGAGGTAGATGGGGTCTCGGTAGGGGAAGACAGTGACCATTTTCTTTAGTCGTACTCTGATTGAGCTGGGCTCTTCCCATTCCATAACGGAGAGGTTATCGGTCGAATCGAGGAACTTATCCTCGATGTATATCTCTTTCATGTCCGCATCCTTCTCCAAATCAAAGACGGCGGGTGCAGCAACTCGCTCCGATTCACACTTTTGACGGTGCTCAACATGATCAACATGAACGAAATCTCTGAGTTTGTCTTCGTGAGCAGAGCGTGGTCGCAGTGCTATAACCGGATGGCCGATGATGCTCACCCGCGCCTGGCGGATGTATGACGCCCGTACTGTGGCAGAGGCGTTCATTGTAAGTGACCCACAATTTTTTTGCAAAGATGAAAAAACGGTTATAACAATACACCGAAGAAGTGAAGTGGGGAATGGGGTAAAAGGGAAAGGCGGGCACAAATGAGTGACTATAGCTGCGAGCAGCGGAAAAAGCGAGTGTTATGGCCTTCCCTTCACTCCGGCTGTGCTGAGGCACCAGCACGGCTTTAAACCGGAACACCCACACATCCGTCACACGGACTCATCGCTGTCAGGTAATTGTATTTACTTTGCCAAGGTCTTGGATTGCAGACGCCCAAGACCACAGACGTGTCGGACCCACGAGCTTCGTCACGCTCCTGACGAACCAGAGGGTGTCAGCGCTTCCACAAGCTTTTAGCAAGCATTATGTTTCGTTTGTTATTCGCCTTGGATGGATCCTGATTAGCGCAGCGTGGTCCCGGATCTCACCATTTCCGCCCAAGGTAAGGCGCCGGTTGTGATCGACGGGGATCCCAGCGTTTCAGCATTTGAACAGGGTGTGCGCGTCCTAAATTGGCGACAAATGGGTGGCGGTGCATCTAAAGGACCAGAGATGTACGGGAGCCGCCGTCCGAACTGGGCCAACGAAACGGGCCTGAAGCGCTAGCGCGCTACTCGATGCGGCTCAAGAGGCATCCAAAACCAACAGTTGGGTGGGCTCAGCCACATATACTTTTTCCTCTCGTATCACATAACTCATAAGAATGCGCGTCCACTGGATCGCTCAGCTCGTCGGTCTTACGCGTGGGTATTTCCTACGTCTTTCCGGGCGCCAAGTTCACAGTCAAGGAAGTCCTGGCGATGCTTGCGGCCCGACAATCTTACAATGGGTGCACAGGCAGTGAATTGATAATGATGAGGCCCAATCACGATAAGGCATATAAGGCAACACTGCAACTAATGTTATGGACGTTGTTGATAAGTGTGTACCTGAAACGGGAAAAGAACAACTAAGCTCGTCGTCGATCAATAATCACACCGAAGCTATCGTGCGATACGCATAGAACGTACGAGAAAGGGGCTGTCGATCATGATGGTCGGACGTAGTGGGACCTGCTATGTAAACACGTACGTACACCCTCTCGTTGGAGGTGGTCCAACGTTTCCAGCAGTCAATCAAGCTACTGAGCATTGCGCAATCATGGATCATGTGCGTTTGATCTTTGCTTGAAGTGGTTCGCACTGTTGTTGCATATCCCACTCAAGATATACTCTGGATTTTCACCCATATGCATATACTGACGTTGCAGGCCGAAAGCGAAGATCTTTCGTCAGCTTTTCGTCCCAACAGCTGAGAGTGTGGCTACAACCTTTGACATAGGGACCCAATCCCGCTCCGCTGACAAGATCTTGGGCGGAATCTCACGTTCGGCCCAATTGCTCAAAGCATTGGGCCGAACGCCATGTCGAGCTCCGGGCCTGGTCCCCTTTCCGCGATGCTGCATATCCGGAGCGAGAAAGAGGCGGAAATGCTTGTCCGGCTCGTCCGCACTGCCCGTGATGCTCTCCGCCCACTGACGACAGTCTTTAGTGGCATGTCTGATAATTGGTCCTCAAGACTGAGCATGGTTGTTGACTAGGTACCTGAGTCACGCAAGGCTAAAAGACCTAGGCGATCAGAATACCACAAGCTGCCGTAAGTACGAACTTATGGTTCCCCCATGGATACGGGCAAAGTCGTAGTTTGGGTTCTTGGAAACATCTTTCGCCCAAATAATAGCAAGGGATAAGACGCGATTCAGCTCACATCCTTAGATATTGTGATAAATACGTTGTGTGTGGGTCGTATTGACGCCTTACGCAAGGCCAGCGGTCGCACCCGAACCTCGTCACCACTTCGGTCCTTAAC